TTTTAGAATCTACTCAATGTAGATTCTAAAAAAGGATCTTTTATTGTTTAAAAAGCACTTAATTATTATCATATATTTTTGTAATAAATAATGGTGTTTCTCATTTATGTTTTTATATGATTCCCATATTTAGGTGCAACATAGCTTACATGCATAAAGAGCAAGTATAGTTCATGTATTTAAGGGAAAATGTCAACTTGGTCATCCTACACGAAAAAATCAATTAGACCCTCATAATTAAAAACATCAATTAAATTCTCAAACATTAAAAAACGCTCAATCGAGTCAATTAGCAGGTTATCTGCCATGTGAGCAAGTCACCCGCCGACGTGGCACACACGCGGTGGTCCAATCAGGAGTGACTTTCTTGAGGTGACGCACATGTGAGAGCTCCCATAAGCTATTTCTTGATGATGTGGCACACACATCGATTACCACGTGTGCATCACGTCAGTGGCCAGTCGATGATGTGCTGACATGTCAAGTAACCTGCTGATTAACTCAATTAAACGTTTTCCCAAAATTCAGGGGTTTACTTGATTGTCTTTAAAGTATGAAGATTAATTGACTTTTTTATGACAGTACAAACGTCAGGTAGGTTTCCCCGTATTTAATAATATATGGAGTAATAATAAACTTATTACGGAGTATTACATTATGAAGTGGATGTTTGGAACTGATTCTGCTTCTGTTATTTTTAAAACAGAAGCAGAATCAGAATCAATTTTCAGAAACTGGTCCTTCCATATTCTAAAAAAATGATACTAAAAGTAAATTAGAGCATCATAAATATTTCCTCACTTTCACCCAAACACTTAGAGGGATGTATTGAATATGGATTGCGGTGAATTTTTTTTAATCCGCGAACTTTTAAAAAAGTCAATGGACTTTTAAATCTATAGACTTTTTTATGAATGAATTCTATGGACTTTTAAATCCATGGATAAGTTTATTGACTTTCAAAATGTCCATAGACTTTTAAATGCGAACCACCACTGCTGGTCGTCGAAATTTTCACTTAGACCGCCGCTACCGATCTGCCCGTCCGCCTCCATCACTTGAGTTCCCCGATGTCGTCATCAGACTGATCCGCTACCAACAAAGTCGATATGGTTATGCAAGGGAATTATGGACAATTACTTATATTAATTAATTAAATTAGGGGTGAATATGTAATATTTAGTCCTATTTAAGGAAAATCAAACATATGATCATACTTTAAGAAGAATGCTACTCCGTATGTATTAGTCCTACCCTGAATCATTTCCTCTGTATAATACAGAGTATGATAAGAAACAAATAAACAAACAAACAAATAAATAAATGAAACAAATGTAATTCATATAGCAACACAAAGTTCTACAAGAATAAATGAAGCATAAGAATCCAAATTTATTTTTATTAAAAAAACTCAAAGTTTCAAGAATGCTCAAGAATTTTGGTCATTGTATTGATGAGTAAGAACATTAATCGTTACACAACCATTACACTCATTGCTACATGTGGTACAAGCACAGTTGCAATCTTCTTAATAATTGTTTTCATTTCATTTCTATCTTGTAAAATTTTGTGTACTTATTTACGGTTATATATTTATTAATTTGAAATTATTTTTTTATGTGTTAGCGATTTAACGCTGAAAGAAAGTAATAGTTAAAATATTTATTTTCTTAATGGTTAAGTGACGGCGTACCAGAATTGCACTGATGTAATATTATCGATTCTTATATCAGTTCTTCTAGAAACTTCTAGAATCGAACCAGTATGAAATTAACGAATCGAGGGGGTGGGACAATCTGAAGAAGAAAAAGAATGGAAGGAGAGGGGTGGAGCGAGCTAGGCTGTAGAAGAAGAAAGATCGAAGGGAAAAGGGTGATTTGGCTAAAGAAAAGGAGAGTTGGCGGGGTGGGGGACGGGATGAAGAATCGATATAAGAAAAGTCCACGGAAATCTTTAGTGAGGAGAAGAGACAATCGAAGAGAATTAATGTACTACCTCCGTCCCGGAATTATCTCCTTATTTGACTGGGCACGGGTTTTAAGATAGTGGGTAATATGTGGTGGAGAGTTGTGCAGAAGAAAGAGAAATGTGTAAGAATGGTTGTGAACCACAGATTCTTTGTCAAAAAAAGGAAAAAGGAGATAAATTTGGGACGAACCGAAAAAGAAAGAATGAAGATAATTCTGGGACGGAGGGAGTACTAAAAATGAGTTTAAAGTTCACGAGAATACATGATTTTAGAAATCCATAAGAATGAACGGAACTTTGAATATGCCTAGACTTTTGTAGACTTTTAAAAGTCTACATTGAATACACCTAGACTTTTGTAGAGTTTTAAAAGTCCACGTTGAATACACCTAAACTTTTAAAATTCATGGACTTTTAAAATTTTGCCATTAATTCCTAATACAATCCCTAAAGAAGGGGATTCAATTTTAAGAATGAGATCAAATCACCTCTTAGGACGAATTGCATTAACTATATTTAGAATTACGGAGTATTACGTATGAAAGAACCAAGACAGTGGCGAAACCATAAAAAGTTAAAAGCAGCGGCGGCAAAGTGCTTGGGTCGAAAGAGGAAAAGGACGAAAACGCCAGCTGCATTTGGTTGGCAGCCGAGCAAATGCCACCGCCAAGGTTGTCTGCAAATCTTGGCAACTCCAAGAGAAGCCGCGTGGTCCCCATCTACAGCATGTACGGACTATTAATTAATGAGAGAATTCCGTAAATTAAAAAAGTTTTGAAATTCTAAAATAGGGGTATCATGTTTTTTATTTCTCAAATAAGAGTAAATTTCTGCCAAGTTTGACATTACTAGACTTTAAAACATGTCATTTTTTCCAAACTTGTCAAACTACTCTTATTCGGAGAATAAAAAAAAGTTATTCCTATTTTGAAATTTCAAAACGTTTTTTGTACTATTTTGAGTAATTTCTATTAATTAAACGTTATGGTTAGACGATAGTATTATTCACTAATTTTAATTAAGAGCTAAAGACAGAAACACGCACACTTTCAATTGTACACGAAAAGACTGCATTCACCAGTTGTAATTTATACTCCCCAAAAGATTTCTAAACACCTATTATTACTCCATATTATGTGATGAGAAGTATTAGTAATCAGATTTTACTACTTATACTCCCTAAGAAACAACGACTCAAAAAAAAGTTATGAGAAACAAATTCACAAAAATAATCTACACATATACAAACAAACTACGTATTTCACTATTTAGACATATTTATGGGGACTTTGCGGGGAAAACGTGTTCTTGGCGTCAAGCCGTCAAATGCTTCCTAAATGAGCAGATATTTTTATATCTTGGGATCGGTCCACCTTTCACATGGTGTGTAAATTCGTTGATTATTTTCCTTTCCTGAAGCTTTTTCCTTCCTTTATCTTTTGCTATTCTTTCTTTATTTTTCTTTTCTTCAATTCTTCTCCATTTCCATCAAATTAAAATATTAAAAATTTAATTGCACTTTTACTTTTCCTTATCTTCAATTTAAATTATAATTGAATCTATTTTTTTATTCTTAATCAATACATAACAAAAAGTTTAATGATCTAAATAAAATAAGTATATTGCATTTTATATTCATGCACTATTTTTTGTAATATCTTTTTTATATTCATACATTTTTTGTAATATATTTTTTTATGCATACATAGGAGTAAAAAAAATTTGAAATTCCAAAATAGGATTATCATGTTTTTTATTCCTTAAATAGAAGTAAATTTTTGACAAGTTTGGCATTACAAGGCTTTAAAACATGACACTTTTTTTCAAACTTGGCAGATTACTCCTATTCAGGGAATAAAAAACATGATACTCTTATTTTGGAATTTCAAAACATTTTTACTCCTATTTAGGGTAATTTCTGTTTTCTATAATATATTTTTTTATCACTTTTATATGTTTTAAAAGTTTTTAAGACATTGAGTTTGTTTATTTTAATTCTAGCTTGGAGTTACATTTGATAATATACGAAGTTACATCATCTTATGCTCGAGTTACATGTTATTATGCGTGAGTTACATCTTTTTATGCGTGAGTTACATATTCTTATGTGCGAGTTACATACTTTTATGCGCGAGTTACATCTAATTATGTGTGAGTTACATTTAATTATTTGTGATATTGTACTTATCTTTTTTCTTTAACTAGTTAAATTACAACTGAATTCATTTTTTTCTTTACCAATTTAATACAAAATTTTATTAAGCCACATAAATAAGTATATTGTATTTCATAATCTCAAAATGAAACCCTTTTATTGAATAAAAGAACTTTTTTATATCGATTTTCTATAGCAAAAAATGATTTTTTGGGGGGAAAGTGATTTCTATAAACATTGTGTGGTCTTAATATTAAAAACAAAACATATCCACTATTTCGATAAAATAAATAAAAAATTAGACTCATTTATTGTTTACTTTGAAATCATTGTTTTTGACAAGTTACATTTTGATTTGTCTGCCGTAACATTTCTTATTAACGTAAGTTACATGTCTTTACACGCGAGTTACATCATTCTTGCTACTAGGACAAAAACAAAGAAAAAACATAAATATCTCTCTTCTTATTTGAAGGATCTTACATCATTTTGGAAAGTTTCTGTTCACAATGTCTAGATGTAGACATTGTGGTTGACATTGTAGAGAAAAACTTACCAAAAAACATATAAGATCATGAAAAGAATAAGAGAAAAATGTTATAAAATTAATATTTTATGTGTATCCCTTTTTTGTTACATGTGCACGGTACACATTATAACATTGGAGAACCTATTAGTTAGCATGCTTTAACATTCTTGAACAAAATCTATTTCTCACCGGTTCTATTTTTAAGCCGAGACTTGAAGTAAGCAAAATATCGAAGTCCCAAAATCCACTCTTCACATCTCATTACTTTATTTACACATAAAGTCCCCCAAAAAACCAATAAAATAGAAAGAGACTTGTTCTCCTTTTGATAAATGTTCCACCGAACAGCTCTTCCACCACACCTTCAACCTCATTTGAGCAAGCTAGATTATTCCACAACCCTCTTCCAAGAATCCCACACCTCTTTTTAGAAGAGAGATTGAGCTAAAGTGAGAGACGGCCAGGGAAATCAATCAGAAGTCTTCGTCTTCTTCAATCAGTTTACAGGCGGCCATGGATTTTCAGATCCTTGGCCTCTGCAAGCTGGTATTTTCAACTGTTTTCTTGTTCTTTGCTTTAGTGGGCGCTGCTACATTGCAAACAAATCCATCCAGAAATCATCACTTGGGCGGGTCAGTCTCGGGTGCCCAGATCAATTCCAACTCGGTATTGGTCGCCCTTTTGGATTCACACTACACTGAGCTATCGGAGCTTGTGGAGAAGGCCCTTCTTCTCCAGACTCTCGAAGAGGCAGTTTCTCGCCACAATATCACCATTTTTGCGCCCAAAAACGAGGCTTTGGAGCGGGATTTGGACCCGGAATTCAAGCGGTTTTTACTTGAACCCGGGAATCTCGGGTCATTACAGAACCTGCTTCTCTTCCACATGATTCCCGCTCGCATTGAGTCCGAGCACTGGCCGGTCGACTCTCAGGGCAGTCTGAATCACGCAACTTTATTCCGAGACGCCGGCGGCGATGAGAATCTCGTTGTGTCTATGAATAATGGCCAGAGAGAGGTCAGTGCGGCTAAGGTTCTTCGGCCGGACGATGTCGTTCGTCCCGATGGCGTCATTCACGGGATAGAGCGGGTGTTGATCCCCAAATCGGTGCAGCAACATTTCAACAACAGGAGGAGCTTGAGTTCCATCTCCGCCGTTCTCCCCACCGGAGCACCGGAGATAGACACCAGAAACCGCCGAATCCTGAAGAAACCGACTAGCTCTTCCCCTGCCGGCGCCCCATCTGGTTTATCTGTCTATGACGCCTTGGCCCCGGGCCCATCACTAGCTCCGGCGCCGGCTCCGGGACCCGGCGCACCCCACCGTCACTTCGACGGAGAAAGCCAAGTCAAGGACTTCATCCAAACCCTACTGCATTACGGCGGGTACAACGAGTTCGCCGATATCCTTGTAAACCTGACATCATTGGCTACTGAAATGGGAAAACTAGTGTCTGAAGGTTACGTGTTGACGGTTTTAGCCCCCAACGATGAAGCCATGGCAAAGCTTAGCGTCGATCAGCTTACCGATCCCGGTGCACCGGAGAGAATAATGTATTATCATCTAATCCCGGAGTACCAAACGGAGGAGAGTATGTATAATGCGGTCAGAAAGTTTGGAAAAATCAAGTATGATACCCTGAATTTGCCCCATAAGGTGTTAGCTGTAGAAGCCGATGGATCGGTGAAGTTCGGAGAAGGAGAAGGGTCTGCTTATTTGTTCGAACCGGACATTTATACCGACGGTAGAATTTCGGTGCAGGGAATCGACGGTGTTCTGTTTCCGGCGGAACAGATCAAGGCTGCCCCTGCCACCACTGCTAAGGTCGTTTCAAAACCAACAAGAAGAGGTATGTTTTTTAACAAATTGTATTATTATTTCTTAGGAAATTAGTATTGGTTTATATTCTTTGAATTATTATGCCATTCCTTTTCCCTGTAATAGGCGATTAAGCAATAAATGATTTCCATTTTCTGATACTGTTTAGGAGAACTGTGAAGTGCAATGAACTTTGAACAATTTCCTTCTGGTCTGCCTTGTTAAGTGATTTCCTTGTGATGTTTTATTATGAAAACCAGCCAATTATAGCATATTAGTATTACTACTTGAATTACCCTTGAACTCAAACATAAACCCACTGATACAGAATTAGAGTTTTTTCTAAAATATTTTTTAAATAAAATTTATGTACAGAAATTGTTATTGAAGTTACTATAACTGTAAAGTAACCTTATGGTTTCTAAAATTTTTATGGTTATTAAAGCTTAAAATTGAATATTACCTTAATAAGTAAAAAGTATCAAGAGTCATTTAGTACAGAGTTATATGTATGTCCTTTCATAATAACCTTGTTAAACTAATATGAAACTCAAATTAGTAGTAACACAGCTCACAAAATATTTTAAGATGAACCATCATTTGAATAAAATTGAAGTAATAAAGGTTATTATTATTGTCAAAAAAATAAAGGTTATTATTATTGCATTGGCCACACGTATACTACCAGCATCATTAAAAACAAGGTCTTTGTGATTTCTGCCTCTAAAAATAAGGTTTTTCTGTAACGCACAAAATTGCCAAAATACGGAGTAGTTTTTATTGCCACTAGTGAATTTTATTTATTCCATGATGCATTAAATTTCAATTTTTGTGATTAGCGCTCAATCATTTAACTCCCTAGTGTTAGGAAAATGTCAATTCTAGGCTGCCTAGACTAGGCACCAGCTCATGACTGGATTTTTATTGCTAAGAACCAAATTTAAAATATTATAAAAAAATGTATTTATTTTTCAAGAGTATTTTTCGGCGCCAAATACAGTACAAAGAAAGAGCAAAAAAGCAATCCAGGCGCCAAATTCAAGAGTGAAAATTTTTCTCAAAGCAAACAGGGCCTATTAAATTTTGTGGGACCCGTATTAGCTCCCAAATTGCAAAACAGAGAATCTTGGCTGGCTGGCAATAATGGTAGGTAGCGAAGGAAGTGTCGGTGTTCCTCCATGAGAGAGAATTCACATGACAAGATTCAGAAACTTAAATTACTGTTTATAAACAGTACTTATTATGTGGGGTGAAGTGTTTGGTGGGTTTAATATGTGGACAAACAGAACAGTTGTGAACAAATGATAATAATGGAAATAATAAAAAGATCAAAGAAGTGAAGTGTTTCCAGCTAAATGCAGCTGTTAGCCATAGCCCCTAATTGTAAATTATTAATTATGATTGATGATTCCCAACTTTTCATGTTCAGACCAGCTTGCATTTTGACTAACCCCATACTATTTCTTCTTTTTCTGCCCTATAAGTCTGCTGTCATGATTGGTTAGCCCTTGACCCCCTTAATTTTTGGTGAAATGTTTTCAAGCAATTTTCATCAAATCAAACAAACTATTGTATCCATCTTAACCGGTGGGCTTAGCTCAACCGGTAGCGAGGGAGTGTCACAAAGGTTAGGTCTCGAGTTCGAATCTCGGCAACTTCGATGTCAAAGTGTAAACTTCATTAAGGATCAGATGTAGTATAAATTATGCTCCCTTAATTTTTTTTGATGGTAATGCTCCCTTAATTTATTAATTACAAAATAGATTTAAATACAAAATTCAAGATCAATGCTAATGCTAATTATGATTGAACTTGACATTGTATTTCCCTCTTAAGGTATTCAATCATTGTCCATAACCTAACCCAGTTGTTGAAATTTGTTGGGTGTTTCCAGGGAAGTTGATGGAAGTAGCATGTAGCATGTTTGATTTCTCCAGCTGTCATTAAAAATCTGTCAAAAGCATAAGAGAAATGAAGAAAAACTTCACATGGCCAAGACTTGAAATGCTCTTACAAGAAACAAAAAAAGTAGGATTACAAAAATGCTCCTGAATAAATAGTACGCATGCAGTTAGTTTCAGTCCAAAGCTTGCGGGCTGATGAAAAATATGAAGAAGAGGAAGCACTCCCATTCAAGCAAAACCAGTGAAAAGTCCTCCCAAAAAATGTAGATGGTAGAGCTGGAAGTAATTCTGTTCTTGCCTATATTTTGTAATACCTTGGAATAAAACACTTGTAATTAATTATACATATCATTTTTTTCATTTGTATTCATGTTTATGTTTTTTGGTAGAATATCTAGGACAATATTTTGTGTGGATATATGAAACTGCTATCAATATTATATATGGAGTACATAAATTCTACATATATATAAGCAACTCAAGAGCTGCCTCATTGAAACATTGTCAGTTCCATTCTGCATGAAAAAATATACTTAGAGGGTAAAATTGGAAAACAATCATATGGCCGACCGTCTTTGCGCACTTATCACGGGTGGTAAATTGACAACTTGTGTGCCATACACTTTTAGACTTGTGACTCTATTTAGCTTTTTGCAATTCTTTGTTTGTATCAGAGTCCTTGCTTTTGTTGGCGGTGGACCCTTGCAGGTTTAGTCTATGTTTTAAAGTGGATGGCTCCATTTAGGGTTGGGCTACTTGGGCATAATGGGCTTGGCTTTGTTTTTAATTTAGTAACCATTCTATTCATCCGAACTGAATAAAATATACTCCTTCCGTCCCATTTAAAGGTTCTTGTTCACTATTCACATGATCAATTTAAATCATTTTTAACCTTTAGCTTTATATATCAATTTTTTATGAAATTTACATATTTTTTATCAGCCTTTGTAGCGACTTTAATGTAGTTTCTTAATATGTAAATTTTGTTTTCTAAAAATAATCGGAGTGTGAACAAGAATCAAGTTGCTTTATCGTCAGTCAAGCATCGTAAACTGAACCGGGAACCTCTATATGGGACGGAGGGGAGTAATACGCTTCCGTTGGATTTAGTTCGATTAGGTACTTCCAAGTAGGCCTGTCAATGGGTCGGGTCCGGATCAGAACGTAGTGTTCCAAACCCGGACCCGCTAAGTTAATAATGGACCCGGACCCGACCCATTTACCCGGCGGGTCTGAAAATTTGGACCCGGACCCAGACCCAACGGGTCTCGGAATCGGGTCGGGTAAACCCGCCCGCCAAGTATGATACGCACACCATTATAATCTTTGTGAAAATAACAAGACATGTATGTGAAATATAAAACAATGTCCACAAATTTAAAAATAAAATATATCTTTACATTTCAAAAAAAAATCAAGGTCTCTCATAGAAAATTAGTACTTTTATCTAATAAAGTATCGGTTCTTGTACATGCATATAGCTCCACACTCTGCATCGCTTTCTCTCGCACAAAAAACTCGTATAATAAACTAGAAATTAAGTCATAAAAAGGTCTCTTGGTCTACTAAGAGCACCAAATGATAGAGTATATATCTAGAGAGAAGTGAGAGCTAGAGAGAGAAGTGCAAGTAAATGCTTTAATAGAATGATTTTGTCACCCCTACAACTACCTCCAGAGGAAGTATTTATAGGAAAAATACGGGTTGGGCTCCCAAGCCTTGGGCTTGGGAGGCCCATTTACAACTGGACCGCTATTGGACCGAATACAATGTGTGTAGGAATGATTAAGTGTAAAATGTAGTTCTGTGAGGCTTCCGTGGCCGACGAGGATCTGGTCGACGAGGGCACGGCCGACGAGGGCATGGCTGACGAGGGCACCATAGTTCCCTGGCTTCAGGATCATATTCTGAGTTGATCCCTTTTCGGCCGACGGGGGTCCTTTGGCCGATGAGGGCACCGCTTGGTGGCTTGTGCTTTCTGTTCTTCTAAGTATGTGGGTACTGGGGCCTAGACCCATATACTCCATCATGTAGTATTATACGATAGTATATGATAATGATATAATAATATTAATAATAATAGTAATAAATATTGTGCTTTTAGGGTATATTACTATCTCGATCCGTATCACTTATATAGTAGTTATGTATTAATAATGTGTATAATTTTATTGAAGAATCACAATTAATAACTTTATGTATTATTATGTATATATGTATATTAGTTTCTATTTTATTTAAAGTGTTATAATAATCACTTTATGTATTAGTGTCTGTGTATACAAATAAGAAATTTTAAACGCTTTCGGGTCTTTAATAGGTCGGAATCATATGTACAATACCCGACCCGTTTATCTAAAATACTAACGGGTCCGGATCCGGATCCAGGTAAACTGAATAAAATATAGACCCGTACCCATTAAAAACAATCGGGTCCGGGTCGGGTCCGGATCTAGACCCGACCCATTGACAGGCCTACTTCCAGGAACGGGTAGATTGTGCGATTTCTGGATCAATTCCGGTTCTATTTCAATTTTACGTTTTGAACCCTTTTTTGGTATAGCATTGAAAAGGGGTGTCAATTTGATGCGCTCATGAGCCCAATTTCACCCGGTCATGTTCGGGAATCGCTATCGGATCAACCTTATAGATAGGGATGGGAACGGGGTGGTTCGGGGTCGATTATACCATTACCCGTACCCGCCCCGTTTGATAATATTTTCCCCCGAAACCGCCCCATTACCCGTATGGTATTTTTTTATCCGCGGGTAACGGTTTTCCCCGCGGATAACAATTTCCTTGTTAACCGTTTTATTAAAAGATATTTTTTCTTCTTCAAAATTAGTATAAATCCTAAAATGATGATTAATTACTTATAATTGACCACCTAAACTAAAAAAATCAAAATTAAATAGCACCACGGATAAAGTTTCTTAAAACATCACAAAAAATTATAATTGTTTGAACCTAATATTCACAAATTATATATGTATAGATTCAAAATTATGAATCTCTTACCACGTCAACATCAAAAGATTAAGTCTTGTCTCATTAGTAAAATCTAAATATGAATCACAAAAACATTTTACTTCCAAAAATTCAATAATCATACCCCACCAGCATTCAACATCTAAATTTTAGAAGAGTAATGTATACAAATAGCATAATGAAAATGGGAAGTTTTTTCCCTAAAATATTACTAATAAAAAATATATGGACATAAGTGTGACTATAAGTTACAATGGGTAAGTTTTATAGTCACTACGATATAACATTTGAATAAAATTATAAACACTAAAGTTACTAGAGTCGCATTTTTGTCCACAACTTTGATTTTGATTATAAATTTGGAATTATTTCAAAAAAAATGTACTTCTAATACTATGATTTAGGTATTCTTGTAGTTACTATTTTAGAAGCCTCATAATTTAAATTTAAAATTTGTTATAAATTAGAGCAACCAATCAAAATTAATCTAATCATCCAACACACCTCTACAAAATTATTAGCAATTACATAAATTAAAGCAATCTAGAGTAATGGTTCCCAATATTTGGACTTTAAACTCATATGTGAGCTTTATGAAAGTTATTGGTGACAAATTAAGAGAGTTACAATGTGAAAATTGTGTACAGAAAATCACGAAAATCAAATAATCAATATGTGAAGAAAATAAATCTTGTAAAAGTTAACAAAGGAAGATGATGAATGATATTGAAAATTAAAAATCTAAAACAGTGAACTTTGAGCACCAACTCCTCAGAATTGAGGATAGCCGATTAGTTGAATGTTTTTCAAAAATTTAGATGGAATAATTGTCATATACTAATGTACTACTATTCATATATACTTAATATATTAAATAATAAATACATAAACTATTAAAATATGTAAGTTAACTGTGCGGGTCGGGTAATGGTGCAGGTAACCGTATCCAAATTAAACGGGGCGGGTAGGTATAAACCCATAACCGCCCCATTACCCGTTTACATAAATTGGGTATTCCCCGCCTCGTACCTCAGTCAAAGCGGTTTTCCCCATTTTGACCGGTTCGCATCGGTGCGGGTATCCATCGGGTCGGGTTAAATTGTCATCCCTACCTATAGAAGATAAAGGCGTAAACAATACGGGGTACTATATTTAGACTATGTGAGACACCCGCACACAAAATTGCCATCCCTACCTATAGAAGATAAAAGCTGATCCGTCGTTCACCCGTTAATTTTTTATAGTCCACCACCCGTCTATCATCTATTAAAATTTACATCCACATGACACATCCAACCCATCCATCATGAACGGGTTATCGGGTGGATCGGGTGAGTAACGGGTGAATACAAAAGGTCAAACTTGAAAGACAAAATAAATAAATTACAAAGAGAAATCATGACAAAAATAAAGAACTTATTTAAAAATAACTACAAAAACTTGAGCAATTAAGGTTATTGCAATCATTAATTCACTGCCAATGATAAACAAAGAACTAATTATCAAACAAAATAGATAAAAAATTTCTTCAAGTTGTCAATTCTACATTTCTGCATCAACACAAAACTATTTTTGCAGTTCAACTGGATTAGGGTTGCGCTCCTATTTTAATCGCTACAATGCTACTCCGTAGTTACGTAGTATCTGTTAGTATATTAATATTAATTATTATTGATATATGTTATTAAATAGATATTATAATATATGTATATATGCGGGTCAGCGGGTGCGGGTGGATAGAGCGGGTGATGGGTTGTATGAGTGTTCATCTACACCCGATCCAACATGTCTTTCAATCCACCCGTCATCCATTTTTCACTCATATTTCTTCGGGTTTTCGTCTATATTTTCGGTTCGGGTTGATTGGGTATCCGCGGGCGGGGGTGATATTGCCAACCCTAATGTGGTTGTAACTAGCAGGGACGGATCTATAGGTAACCCCAGGGGGGCCATGGCCCCTCCCAACTTTTTATTTTTTTACTAGTAGTATTAGTTATTTTATTTTTGGTGAGAACTCCGGTAAACATTTAAAAAACAGGGTACCGTACCTCTTATTCACTTGATTCGTCCAAACATGTATATCATTTTTAATTCAGACTTAAATAATTCAAACCTAATTATTTAAAAAGGTGTTAGTATATATTGTCTTATATTAGAGATGAAATTGAAAGCTTAAGTTATATTAGAGCCTGAGTATTAAACCAGTAGAACACTAGTTTTTATGACATGCAAGCACGATTTCTAAATTTTAATTTGCATGACGTTTACTCATGTATTTTTTGGAGGTACTACCGTATATTAGTACATTTTTTCAACTTTGTCAGCAAGTGTAATTGCTACAGCGGATACTACGTAGTACATTATTTAATGTTTATTGCATGTAAATTTTATATGTTATTATTTAATTTTTTTATTTCACCACGGTCCCCCTCTTGATCACATCCTGGCTCCATCCCCTGGTGAGGGCAACAGGGGATACGTTTCACACGCAATAGAGAAGCAGTATAAATGGTAAAGGGGAGATGTTACTG